TATAATGTATTAAACTAATTTATTATATAAACACCGATGAAATGCCAGGTGAGCTTTCGCGCGAAAACATCATATCTTCACATGTGAAAATAACATGTTACCTTCACATGTGAAAGAATCACCGTTGCTAAGGTTACACTAGCTAGTAATAGTTGACACTACAGCTGCCCCCGCTCTATACATTGTCGGTCAATAGTATTCTTGCGCGTTGTGTACCTCTTTGAAACATACCGATTCATGATGAAGATTTTCACACATATTCCATAAAATACCTGAGATAAATACAGGAAACGCAAGGTTCCATGCACAGGTTCAGTTCGATTTAATTTTACCAAGCTTTGATCAAAACATTCTCAGCTTCGAGAATAGTTTATTCTAAACCATAAGAAAAGATTTAATTAGAAGTTGAATTTTTCGCTTTTTCTTTTTCACTTTTTACATTCAGTTCATTTTAATTGCCGGAAAGTAAGCGTTAGAAATTAAAAGGACGTTTGAGCAATTCACGCTGGCGCATTCTAGTCTTATTTTAAACTTTATAGCGGAAGGACATCTGTGAGCAGGGAATAAGTCAGCACAGTATTGGATTGTCGGCAAATTTCTGTAATCGTCCAAGGGTGTAATGTAATTAATTTACCTACCATAGGTGACGGGCCGGTGTAGCGTTACAGGCGACCGTTGAAAATATAAGAGACTTTGTATGACAAATATTTTCCTGAGATCTGCGAACGCTAAATAACGCTAAACCTTACATAGAACGATGTTCTATGAAAGGAGTAACAGCGGTTACGCAATAAAGCCAAAAAAACAGTAAAACGACAGAAACGACAAACAGACACCAAAACGCAGTGGAATACATTGTAGGTAAGTCTTTTTTATTCATTTCATTTAAGAAAAAGTAAGGTTTAGCGTTATTTAGCGTTCGCAGATCTCAGTAATATATTTCTCATACAAAGTCTCTAATATTTTCAACGGTCGCCTGTAACGCAACACCGGCGCGTCACCTATGGTATGCAAATTACATTACACCCTTCCCTCGTAACGTGAGTTTGGGCTGCCTGTGGTAACGCACACGAGTATCGAAGTATGACTGCACAAAAAATGTCACAGAATCTACGTACGGCGGTCCCTTCGGGATTTTCTGTCTTTACGTCATCCTAACCATTTCGTACTTGCAGGCGCAAACAATAGAAACGTCATCATTACCTACCGATTCCTCGCGGCCCCTGTTCAAGCAAATCGAGATTTTTTCTATATTGACTGTATGACTGTATATTTCAACTGTAAGTACTTTTCTTAATATACATAATTCATCTGCAAGTACTTTCCTTAATTTACGCGCGAGTTACTAGGGTGCCTCCTCGGGATTTCGCCTTTTGGGCGAAATCCCTGTGGGGGCAATGATAAATCGCACCTTTCGCACCAAAAAGGCATTAAAGTTGGTATTTCATTGGTGTTCATATAATAAATAGAACATTACATGGCCGCTTGGAGATAGGAAATTTTTCTTCTCATGTTGAAAAAATATTCAACACTCGAAGAGAAATATAATATCCTCTATGTAAGAGCAGTCCGCTGCACATTTCACTTTTGTTATGAAAATAATGTTAGCTTTAATGTTGCAAGTTTTTCTATTTTGTGCCACAACCACTTTCTTTGGTTTAATTGTCTTTTTGTTACTTACTTTAGCTGCTTTGGTATTTATGTCTTGAAAATCAGGGGCACCCAACCACCCGATGCCTCCAGATCCCTTAAAATGACGGCCTAAAATGGTTTCGCCAATGTATTTGAAGCTCGTTTAGTGAGTTTGTAGCTGTCCTACGATATTTATCTGTTCGGATGTTCTAGGGCAACTCAAGGTGTTTGGAAATTTCTCGGTGGCTTTTTTGCCTTGTCCGAAAATTCTAGCAATCGTGAAAGGTCTGAAAATATCAGGCGAAAATATCTAATTTCGTGCCACTTAGTACAATGCGACGTTGCACCCGGGGAGGGCGGGGGGGGGACTTTGTTCATGTCTTGTAGTGTTTCCTGTTTCTCTCAATTCCCGAAAGAAGGACGTCTTAGCAACTTTTTTTTTTAAGACGGTACCCTACTTTGATCATTCTCATCGTTTAGTCAGTGAGGGTCATCTTTTTACAGTCACATGTAAACTTTTTTAGTGCGCTCTCGGATTGGTTTTTCTTTCTCTTCTTGCTATCCGAACACCCAGTTGTATCCCCTTATAAGTTATAGACATGTGTATTTATACATATGTCATTTCAACCAAAAAAATAGATGATCTAGCAAAATTGGATTGTCCGCACTGTCTGGTTAAGTAGTTGCTACTCTATGTCAATCTTCATCTCTTTAAAGGTTACTTCATGTACATAGAAGCATCCAGTCCACGAAAACGAGAGGATAATGCAAAATTGTACAGTCCTCCACTGACATTCGCGAGGCACATGTGCCTTGAATTCTATTACCATATGTATGGTGAAGCTATTGGAAGCCTGAAAGTCACCATAGATGAAAAAGTAGTGTTCTCTAGAAGCGGCGATAGAGAAGACAAGTGGTTTAAAGCCAGTATAAATGTATCAGCTATTGTGGGATGGCATAGGGTAATAAGCTTTATTTTTTTTACCTCTCTTAATCCAACTGAGCCAAGATCCTCAACGATGTGAAAACGGTGTCCACTGAAGGTAGTAATAGTTAAGAGGAAGTTAAATAGACACTAGGAATATCTGATCATATCTTTTGTAATAATTTTATTTCGGTTTTGAAGTCTAAGAATGTTCCGAATCTTACTTTTTTGTTCTTGTCAGTTAAAAAGAAGGTGAAATAGTTGACTCGATCGATCGATCGACTGCCAGCTACTATTATTAGACTGCATCTTCAGCTGCATCTTACCATTAGCTTAAATTTGACACTGTTAAGTATATATATCATTCGATAATAACATTTGTCACTACAGTCGAACCTCTTTAATACGGACACCGGCGGACAGAGCGAATTGTCTGTATTAGGGAGGTGTCCGTATACAAAAGGCCATTACGATGACGTCACGTTTATGACTGCACTTACAGTTTAAGTGATCAGTAGTAGTCATTTAAGTTAATCAATTAACAATTCCCAATACAAAGACTCTGTCTTTCAGTAGCATTCAACTTTGTACATATCAACTACGTACGTACAGTCGTAGACAAATCACTGTTTTAAAACGAAACGAGCAACAGCGCAATGCTGCATTTAAAAAGTTGTAACGTAAAGCACAGTTCTGAAAGAGTCCGTTCGCTATTTTGTAAGTGCAGTAAACAGTAACTATATTGTACAAATGTAATAGAAAAGATCTTTATGCTATCTGTAGTTATTCAAGATTTAAAAAAGTCGGTTACGTTCCTCTGTACAACTTTTGCAAATCGTTGTTTGATATACAGCGACTGGGCTTTTGAAGTCACCTTGCATAGCTTATCAGCCAGACGGGATTCACCCTTTGCAGATTCACCTGATCGGGATTCGGGATTCACCTGATCAGCGCAGTGTCCGTAATAAAGAGGTTAAGTTTATATGGATTTACTCTCTTGGGCCGAGATTTAGTGTCCGTTGTCCGTATTAGAGAGAGTCCGTATTATAGAGTTTTTTTTTTTTAAAGAAAATATAAAAGAATTTTTTCGGGACATTGGAAACTGTCCGTAATACAGAGGTGTCCGTACCGCGCGGTTTCACTGTAATTTCAGTACAACATACTTTCTCTTCAAGTCATGAACAGCGGCGCTTTCGGACTGATTACACCTTTCATAGAACAGTGCCGAATAAAGCAGAACACGCCTAAGTAGGGTTATGCACATTCCGAACCATCGCAGCGCGGAATTGAATGGGTTTTTTTAAATTGCCTCACGTATCAGTTATATTTGTGAGAGAGCTTCGCATGGTTCAGTTTTGTCTGTTATTATATTGTACAAACGTGATTAAACAAATCAAACAACCCCAACCACGATTACAGACTGAAATGGACTTCACTCCTTCCTATTACCCTGCAGTATCTAAATTATCAAAATTATTTTCTTTTACCACAGGTGACATTTGAAGGGGTAGTTGGCAACGGTTACAGGGGTGACATAGCAATTGACGATTTCTCCTTGACAGCCAGGTCTTGTGCTTTTAGTAAGTAGTTTTGAAAAAGAACTTTCGTTGCAAAGATGGAAAAAAAATAGTGTTGCCCTATTTTTGTTAAGGAATACTTTATGCTTGAGTTGTGGGTATTAACGTTTGCCTTTGGGGGCAACAAAATATTTGCGTCGAAGGATATAAAGACCAAGAAAAGGATTGAAACTTACTTGTTCAGATTCTTTCAATATGCCCCTGATAATAATTGTCGTTACAGCGCTCGTTTACTTTCCGCTTCCACGAATCAATAATGCTTCTTTTTAAGCCGCATCAACATACGTTCCCTGACCTCAGCAGTGTTTTTATTTCCTTTATACATGATTGTTTTTAACTTAGGGACGGACCATTAGAAAAGTTATGGGGGGTTGGGTGGGGAATTTTTGAGCCGCAGGAATTTGTTTTCGTTATGAAATTCTTTGTATGAATTTTTTTAGGCCGTAGCATGAATATTTTTTAGGGTTAATTGGCGTGAACGAATTTTTTTTCATTTAGTTTTTCCTTGCGAGGGGTGGCTAAGGTTAATTCCCTTTTAGCGCTCCAAGCTTTCAGATCGTGGGGACAGCGTGAAGAGATGTGAGCGCAAGAAAAAGGCAGTAAGGGGGGAGGGAGGCAGTCTAGTTATTGTATAATTCGCTATGATTTAGTTACGTAGTAGACTCTTGACAGCCACTGATTACAAGTGATATTCGACCACAAACTTAATTCGGTCCTTTTCCATTTCTGCAGTTCCAAAGCATGGATTATTTCGGTGCTGAATTGTGCTCTTTCGTTTCCTTATTCAGATTGTTGCAGTTATCACTTTGAAAAATACCAAGATTTATCAACCAGCTTAGCTCACGCTGTGGAACATTTCACCATCAATGGAAATCTGTTTCTCGCCTTCGCAAACTACAAAAGTGACACCACCGGAAAATACAACCATAGACTCTTTCATCTACAAGTTCAACGATTCCACTAGGAAATTCTCTCCTTATCAAAACATAAGTACAAATGGAGGGCAAGACGTGGAATATTTCAAAATTTCTGATGAACATTACCTTGCTGTTGCTAATGGTTACAATGGAGTTACCCACAGACTGAACTCTGTTATTTATCGTTGGAATGGAAAATTGTTTGTCGCTTTTCAAAACCTCACTACGAAGGGAGCAAATGGCTTTAGTTTTTTCGTAATAGACAAAGAACCATTTCTTGCCGTATCAAATCGTTACGACGACGTTACAAATAGTATAAACTCTGTCATCTACAGGTGGAAAAACAAAAGGTTTGAACTGTTTCAGGAGGTAGCAACAGACGGAAGCAGTAAGAGTGTCGCGTTTCTAATTAATAATGAAAACTACATCGCTTTTGCCAATAACGTCAAAGATTCAGTCGTTTACCAGTGGTCAGGGAAAAGCTTCTTCAAACTACAGACTCTTCCGAAAGCAAATGATTTAAAGTTCTTTAATATTAATGATAATGCGTTTCTGACCATCTCCTCTCCAAACAAGAACCCGTTAATTTACCAGTGGAATGGCACTCAGTTTCGGTTTTACCTGATCTTTCTTAATGCTGTAAGGTGGGGCTTGCATCCATTTGTGACTTGTGGCCAAAACTTTCTAGGTTTGGCTGATCGGCACAAAAAGGCAATGTCCCCGCTGTATATATATATGTTCTCTCATGGCCAGTTCACAAAATTTCAAAAGATTTCCACTTCTGGAGTGATGGATATAACGTCATTTGAACATAAGGGTCATACTTATCTGGTTATGGCTAATTCAGGGAATGATAACCAAAAGAACACTGAAAGTGCGCTTTACAAGTGGACCATGGATTAATTAGTGGATTAGTTTATGATGTAGTCTATACTAAGGGTAACTCTCGGCGAAGGTGCATACGTATGCTTTAATGGAGCAAGAACGCAACTAAAACTGCTATATATAACAATTATTCACCGAAGTGGAGGTGGCTAGTGACCTAGGCCGCAAAGCGGCGACATAAATATCCACCACCACTAGCCACCTACACTGAGGTGAGTAATTGTTTTAGTATATACTAACTCATTTATTGTTGCCAACGATTACAATTTTGGCGCGCAATGACCGAACGGCCGCGGTCGTCGCTTTTTCTTGCCGACAAACGAAACTTTTGAAGGCATTTGTTTAGCTCTTGCGGGGCAATTTCTTCAAAAGGAGTACTATCCACTGTTTTAGTATATACTAAATAGATTTAGCCAGACCTAACAGTGAAGCTTCCGTTTATACACTGATAATAATTATAAAAGGAACAATTGAACTTTCAACCAAGAAAGCTATGAATTAAAATTAGGTTTAAGAGCCCTCCTCCATACCTTGCAAGGGACGGATCGGTTGATCATTAAGAAAAAAAATCCTGCAAACACACTTAAAATATGAAAAAAGCCTTTACAGCAAACACTATTTTGAATCAAGTTTGATCACAGTAGTAGGCTTGGAAAATAATTCTTGCCAAGACTACATCGCAGATGAAATCCCCAATGTCTTTATGTGATGCTTTCTTCAACCAAATACGAAAATACCAAATAAACAAATAAACAAGCTTTTAATAGAACAGTTAACAATCTTGTGGCTGCCTTTCATTTTGTGGCGGTAGTAGAAGAACGCGAAATGTTAAGTAATAATAATGACAAAGAATGACAAATAATGACAAATGTCTTGATGCTAAGTTTTGACGGGAGAAGTCACCTGTCAATATTTGACCAATCAGAGATTAAATTGGTCTTGGAACTCGGATAAAGACTTAACCAAGCTAATAAAAGCCTAAAGCCTTAAAAATTTATTTTTGAAAGTTTTTTCGGTAGGTCAAATACAAGGGCCTTGAAGATTTCTACCATTGCAGCTCCATTGCCAGAGTCTCCTCTCTCCCCCCCTCCCACAGTCTATACGCGTGGACAGGCCACAGCTGATGTCATAACCAAAATTTTATATAGCAGTGGGTCTACCGTTATGACAGTAGTGTCGATAAGGACTGGACTGGTAGGGTACAAAAAAAAATAGCGTGGCTTTCTAATTATCGTAAGTCAGTTATTGGCACTGAACGGTTAAAATATCTTAGCTGAGTTATCAAGCCTATAAACAAATTTATATTTTCGTACCTTGGGAAAAATATATTATATGCTAAATTAAACCCCCAGAGACGATACGTTTGACTGCTGTACACACGAGGGGGAGCAAAGAACGGTCTAAAACGGTCTTCACATCAATGAGTAAAATTGTCAACCGGAATCATATGGGCCAGTATAACGCCAGTATGTTATAACCCATGTAATGTAATTTATTATATGGCTACAATAGTACACGTGCTCTGATTGGCTGCTAAGCGGGCATTATTTTTTAAAAAAACCGGGCATTAGTAGCTAGGTGTCCAAGGCATAAACAAGCTGTGTTTAATTTGATAGTAGGCATCCTTATGGACAACCATCTTATTGTCATGGGAAAGGCATCCGCTGACCAATGTCACATGATGTGACGTGATTTTTTAAGTTGTTGGTTTTAATTGATCACGGGCTCAGGTCCATAATGAAAAGGCCATATAATAAATAACTTATAACTTCGTCCGTTAGGTCATAACAGGGAAATTTCAGACCAAGGCCCTGATGTATTGACCGATCAATCCATTTACATAAATAACTATTGTAATTACAACTAGAAATGAGAAATGCCAAAGGATGAAGCAGAGTAATGAAAGGAACAATGAGTCTAATCGTACTGAAAGCGTTACTGGCTGATTTCAGTCTATAACATCTCACCCTGACATCTCATATTCATGACAGAAATTAGCATTGTTTTATCACTTTTGCAAAGTATTGAGACAATAGTGGAATATTAGTCGCAACACAGTCGTTCTCTGTGACGTCACTCGACGCTGCTCCCCACAAAAAATGGTACATACCTCTGCATTATCACCTCTAGTTTTTCGATCAGCTGAAAGAAACTGGGACGAGAGCAAGGGTCATCTTTTTAACAGTCAGTCCTTAACTCGTATCTATTGTGCATAATGTAGGTTTTCAGGGAAAGTAATATCTATTTATAAACTTTAAGACGACAGTGGTGAAGAAAGGTACACGTCATCACAGCACATGTCTGGCCTTTTCATAGGATATCCACTGCCGTAGAGTCGATACGACTCTGTGTTAGTCAGCGTCGGATATGCCACGCCTCCTGGTGATGGAGCGGGAGAAAACAAATAATTAACAATTACTGAACGAGGTTGAGCAACATATCGTGATCTGCCAGATACTGGCAAATCACGCTATTTTGCGATAACCGAGTTCAATAATTGATTTATCATTCCGTCACCAAGCTTATTTTATTACAGAGTGCGATGGTCTGTTGTTACAATGTGCGACAACTATTTTTACAAAACTAAAAAGTGCGACAAGTGTTATTACAAAGTTCGACAGGTATTACAAAGTGCAACAATTTTATTACAAAGTGTGACAGGTGCGAAGTGCTACGATTATTTCAAAGTGCGACAGAACAGGGGGACCCCATTAATTTGATGTGAGGTACTTAACGTTAATGATGTCATAGTCCTTTATCTTTATCTCATTAAGATAAGGTCACGTGCTATTTTAGGGTTTCAAGCCGTTGGACATGTTTTCTAGAATGATAAGCTTAGCACTGCTCAAGAATGCAGTACCCCGCTGGTTTGGAAAGAATTTCTTCCCAAATCAGCGGGGTGTATTTGGTAACACAAACCACTGTTAGACCAGAGCAGATCAATTAAGTCAGAGAAAGGTGTCAAAAGTCGGCAAAAACCCCACCCTCCTCAAGAGCCATTTATTCCCAATGACGAGAGTATTCCAACCGCGAGGTAAAACGGATGCATATTTTTGCTGCACAAAAGTTCACTTTTTTCTTTCATATAAGTGAAATACTTTGCAGGAACATTATAATCAAGTTTGTCGCGTGAACACATCTTTAAAAAAGAAAACGCTGAGATCTTCAATCGTTACGTTATATCCCCCCGTTAAAATACTCAAATAATTCACCTGCCCACAAGATCATTAACCCCAAAAAAAAAAAAAAACAGTTTGTTTTCCTTTGAACACGCTACCACAAGGCTGTCCTATATTGAAACAACTTCAATTAAAGGTAAATAACAGCTACCGGTAATCCAAGCTGCACTATGAAGATAAAAACCGCCGGGCAATTCAGGTACAATGAAGACGACGCAATCCGGCTTTACTGGCACAAATCTGCTTGAAATGTAAGCTAAACAAAAGTAGTATACCACCACATTTAACGAAAAAATATAGCACTGAGAATATTTGATACGAAAAGCATTAGATTAAATTGAAATGTTTACGCATTTACACGTTGTACATTCAAGTGTTAACAAGAAGAACCAAAATAAAACGCGCACGTGTCAATTAATTTTTGTATAAATGATTTCAACAGGCACGTTCAACTGTCAGATTCTCGAGTGTGAGAGCACCAGGAAAGTATACATCACATACACGAACTGATGCGTGAATAGGATGATGCAAGGAAAAGAAAGGACTACTATTCATCTAGACTTGCTACAAGTCGGCCTCACAAGTTTCTTAGTTAGCGGAGCGAGCTTTTTGGGCTGCGAAGTAGCCGAGCGAGCGACAAAGTCGGGAGAAGTCTGCAAGTCGGCTTTTTTTGAAAGTCTGCTATTCATCGTCTTCAAGACCAATTCTCCGAGACAGTCTACCGACATACTAGTTGAATACGCATTTTGAAACAGTTGCCCACGCTTAAAACGCAAAAAACAGGCAAAAGCCATGTCAAGGTGTATACTGGAACAGCTCAAGTTTGCTTTTGGATCGTTGTCTACACAACCAAATGTTAGAAAAATTCTATTCTGGTTTGCAATAGAAAAAAAATATATCAGGGTTACCTACAGGCAAGTGAATGCCTCAGTGTTTCTGCTGCGCGAGGTAGACTTTTACCCATGGACACAACAGAAAATGTTACAAAATTAATGATCTATTCTGGTTTACAAAAGCAAAAAAATCATCAAGGTTAAATCACAGGCAAATTAATGCCCCAGTGTTTCTGCTGCGCAAAGTAAACTTTTACTTAAAGACACAATAGAAAATGTTACAACATTGATTGATTCTGGTTAGCAAAAGAAAAAAATTATCGGGGTTAAATCACAGGCAAATGAATAGGCCAGTGTTTCTGCTGCGCTAGGTAAACTGCTACACAAGGAAACAACAGAAATGTTACAAAATTGATCGATTATGATTTGAAAAAGAACAAAAATATCAGGGTTGAATCACAGGCAAATGAATGCCCCAGTGTTTCTGCGGCGCGAGGAAAACCTTTACCCAAGGACCCAACAGAAAATGTTACAACTTAATTGATCTACTCTGGTTTATAAATGAGAAACGTCATCAAGGTTAAACCACGGACAAATGAATTCTCCAGTTCGTCTGTTGCTCAAGGTAAACTATCACCCAAGGATAATGGCCTAATTTATCCTAGAGACGAATTATCCGTCTCAGACGGATAATTCGTCTATAGTATAAATTCCGTGCTAAGAGGAATTAAGAAGCAAAATTCGTCTGAAGATGATTCGTATGTTAGCACGTCTTCAGGACGTGCTAACGGACGGATAATTCGTCTTAGACGGATTATCCGTCTCTAAATTTATATGTTAAGACGGAACGTAGACGGTTTTTTGGCGAAGTTTCCACATGAGAGGAACTGGTTTCTATATTTTCGCAATGTTTCCTGGGATAAATAAATAAATATCTAGACAAATTATTCGTCAAAATTCGTCTTCGGATTTATACGTAGACGAATTATCCGATAATCCGTCTAGA